GAAGGAAGGAAGGAAGGAAGGAAGGAAGGAAGGAAGGAAGGAAGGAAGGAAGGAGGAAGGGAAGAAGGAGAGGGAGGGAAAAGAAGGATGGAAAAGAAGAAAGGAGGGAAGGAGAAAGGGCAGACAGGAGAGAGAGGGAAAAGAAGGAAGACAGAAAGGAAGGAAGGAAGGAAGGAAGGAGGAAGGGAAGACAGGAGAGAGAGGAAAAAGAAGGATGGAAAAGAAAGAAGGAGGGAAGGAGAAAGGGAAGACAGGAGAGGGAAAAGGAAGGAAGAAAGGAAGGAGGAAGGGAAGACAGGAGAGGGAAAAGGAAGGAAGAAAGGAAGGAGGAGGGAAGGAGAAAGGGAAAACAGGAGAGAGGGAAAAGAAGACAGAAAGGAAGGAAGGAAGGAAGGAGGAAGGGAAGACAGGAGAGAGAGGAAAAAGAAGGATGGAAAAGAAAGAAGGAGGGAAGGAGGAAGGGAAGACAGGAGAGGGAAAAGGAAGGAAGAAAGGAAGGAGGAAGGGAAGACAGGAGAGGGAAAAGGAAGGAAGAAAGGAAGGAGGAGGGAAGGAGAAAGGGAAAACAGGAGAGAGGGAAAAGAAGACAGAAAGGAAGGAAGGAAGGAAGGAGGAAGGGAAGACAGGAGAGAGAAGGAAAAGAAGGAAGAAAGGAGGAAGGGAAGACAGGAGAGAGAGGGAAAAGAAGGAAGATGGGAAGGAAGGAAGGAAGGAAGGAAGAAAGGGAAAAAAAGAGGAACATTTTGGTGTTTTTAGTATGTCCTCCAAACTCCCCCACTGCACATGTGGCCTCTGAGGGACCCCCCCTGCCTGGAGTAGATCCATTTAAAAATATCCCTATTTTTAAGAAGAAGAAACGTTGTTCTCCCTTTGCGATTTCCCTGGAGGCCGAAAGGAGACTCCACCTGATGTCCCAGGGGCAGAAGACCAGGGCCGTGTTGGGAGTCCCTCAGCTGATGGGGCCTCGGGTGAACACAGGCCCGCCATGCCCTCTGTTCTCGGCACCTACTAGTCAGAGTAGTGGGGTCCTTCGTGCTCCCCGCACTTGGCCGTTTAAGGTAACCTCATCAGAGCTAGAAGGATGTGAGGTTTGGGGAGGAGGAGAACCGAGCTTGGCTGTTTTCCTGCAGACGTTTCATTCTCCATCAATGTAACATCATCAGTGCTAGAAGGATGTGGGGGGGCTGAGGAGGAGGGTCGTCATTCACAAACCACGATTAAGCCAGCTGTGGCGTAGTGCGGAGCACCCCATTCCGTCATTCCCCCGACTTACACAGAAGCTGCAGGCAGTTGTCTCGGGTGCGGAGTCTGGCCATTACGTCCCCCGTGGTCAGTGACGGATACGGGCAGTGCAGCTCAGCCAGGAGGCCGCTGATTTCGATCTGAAATGTCTCGGCATCCTCAGGCCCTGAAGAGGTTTTTTAGGATCAGAATGATTTAATTAAAAAATAATAATATTTCTATCACCTCTGCTCATTCTTAAGCTTTCCAAGTGGCACATTTCTAGCTCCATTTCTTCCATTCCATTCCCCTTCCATCCTTTTCCTTCCTTCTCCTTCCTTCCTCTTCTTTCCTCTTCCATTCCATTCCTTCCTCTTCTCTTTCTTCTCCTTCCTTCCTCTTCCTTCCTCTTCCATTCCATTCCTTCCTTTCTCTTCTCTTTCTTCTCCTTCCTTCCTCTTCTATTCCTTCAGTCCTCTTCCCTTTCTTCCCTTCCCTTTCCATTCCTCTTCCTTCCCCTTTCTTCTTTCCTCTTCCATTCCATTCCTTCCTCTTCTCTTTCTTCTCCTTCTTTCCTCTTCCTTCCTCTTCCATACCATTCCTTCCTTTCTCTTCTCTTTCTTCTCCTTCCTTCCTCTTCTATTCCTTCAGTCCTCTTCCCTTTCTTCCCTTCCCTTTCCATTCCTCTTCCTTCCCCTTTCTTCTTTCCTCTTCCATTC